TGTGACCGGGGCCATGGTTTACTTTTACAGTTGGTTACCTTTCATTATTATTTCCTTTGATATGTTTCCATAAGAAGCACAAGAGCAGACAGAGAAGAAGAGAAATGCATACGGAAAATACAATCACCAGTCCCATGGATTCACTAGATTTCAAGCATCAAAGACTTAAACTGGATGTATCTACAATCATAGAATCATAAAGTTGGCCACCTATTCCAGCCCCTGCTCAGTGCAGGATCAGCCTAAAGCATGTTTGACACATGTTTGTCCAGCCTCTGCTTGAAGACTGCCAGCCAATTCCACTGTTGAATTACTCTAATTGTAAAAAAACCCAATAATCCTAATATCCAGCTGGACCTTTCCACCCATAATTTAAACCAATTATTGCAAGTCCTCTCCTCTGCTGCAAACAGGAACAGCCCCTGCCCTCCTCTAAGTGACAGCCTTTGAAATACCTAACAAGAGCAATCATGTCCCCCCTCAGCCTCCTCTTCTCCAGACTGAACATTCCCAAATCCCTCAGCCTTTCCTTAAAGGGCTTGGTCTCCATCTAAATAATTATATCTTAGACACTGAGCCATTAGAGATATTACATTAAATTATTCTCACCTGGTTCATGAGATCACTTTTCTCTGCATGACTGGGAACTTCTTGGGAACCAGCTGAAATCATTGAATCCCTTTGATTTGGTGCAGGCTCCACAGAAAACACAGGAAAGAGAGGCCTGAGAAACCTGAACTCACTGTTCAGGGACCCACCAGCTAAGCACACCTCATAGTTGTAAGCCCGGGAGAGGGATCCAGCATCAGCATCTCCACAGTTCTCCTGGAAATTCGGTCCCACTGGGAAATTCATGCCAGAGTTTTCTACACATTTTCTCCTTTTCTGAGCCTTGATGGCAACAAACACCAACACAGAAACCAGAAAAATGAAGGAGATAACAGCCAAGCATATGACCAAATACATCATCAGGGTACGGTCTTCCTCCTCCACCACTTCCTCCTTTGGGATATCCACCATTTTCATATAAGGGTCAGAAAAACCATCCACTAGCAGAATGTTTAGTGTTGCAGAGGTGGACTGGGGAGGGTCACCATTATCTCTGACTCCAATGATAAGTTTCTGTTTGAAGGTGTCTCGTTTGTTCATGGGTCTCATGGTTTTCACTTCTCCGTTCTGGGCCCCCACACTGAACAGACCCGGTTCTGTGGCCTTCAGGAGCTCATAGGTAAGCCAACAGTTCTGACCGGAATCTCTGTCCACTGCCACCACCTTGGTGACCAGGTAGCCAGCCTCCGCCCCCCTGGGAACCAGGTCATTGGATGGGGAAGTGCCATTCTGAAGAGGGTAGAGGATGAATGGGGCATTATCATTTTCATCCATGACAACAACTCGGACCATAGCTTGGGAGCTCAGGGGAGGAGAACCGCTGTCCACAGCCCTCACAGTCACTTGGAAATCTTTCACCTGCTCATAGTCCAGTGATCGGATGGCATACAGATTCCCAGTTTCAGAGTTGATGGAGACATAAGAGGACACAGGTTGATCGCCAACCTTCCCAGGCAAAACTGAATATCTAATTTTGGCATTCTGCTCTGTGTCCTGGTCCTCAGCATGCACCAATCTTATTAGAAGACCTGGAATATTATTTTCTCCTATTTGCATTCCATAATATGACTTCTCAAATATTGGAGCATTGTCATTCACATCTGAGATCTGGATATTAATTATTCTTGTTGAAGTGAGCCTGTGAGAGCCCCAGTCAGTGGCGGTTATGGTGATGTTGTACTCTGAGACTCTTTCTCGGTCCAGGGGCTGTTGGCTCACCAGCTGGTAATAACTGTTCACAGTGGCTTTTAGCATGAAGGGCAAGTCTGACTCAATGGTGCAGGCAGTTCTGCCATTGTCTCCGGAATCTTGATCCATGATACTGAAAAGGGCCACCACTGTATCTAAGGGGGAATCTTCTGGAAAGGGGCTGGTGATGGAGGTCAGAGTCACCTCTGGGGCATTGTCATTGGTGTCCTCAACGTCCACGATGACTTTGCAGTAATCTGAGAGCCCCCCTCCATCGGTGGCTTTGATATTTATCGAATATTTTTTGTCCGCTTCATAATCAATAGTTCCAGAAACAGCAAGTTCCCCAGTACGTTGGTTTAGCTTGAAAGATGTGAGCACATTCCCAAATATCTGGCCAAAAGAGTAAGTGATTTCTGCATTGGTACCCGAATCCCTGTCCGTTGCTTCCACTTTAATTATGACTGTATCTGCCTGGGTGTTTTCCATTATTTTCACATTGTAAAGAGATTGGTGAAAATGAGGGGCGTTATCGTTGGCATCCAGAACGTCGATGATAATGTTTGCTGTTCCTGTTCTCTTTGG